GCCACCCTCTTTCATGATACAGTAATTCTTTTTATTATTATTATTATTATTATTTTGGAGATGTTTTTGCTATAGGGAGCATGAGCTCACCAGAAAGACAGTGAGAGAGAGAGAAGTGGGAAATCACCCCTGAGTGGGGATGACCATGATGCAATCCCTTCTCCTCCATTCTCTTCTCAGGATCCTGGGCATGCATGCTCCTGGTGTGAGTTTAAGCCACCAGGTCCAGGACTGAACCATGGTCGACTACATGGGAGTCCAGCGACATACCCATTACACACCAATTGCTGGTCCTCTATGATACAGTAATTCTTTTTTTTATTTTTGGAGAGTTTTTTTTTTTTTTTTTTGCTATAGAGCGCGTGCACTCGCCAGACAGAGAGAGACATAGAGACAGAAAGCGAGAAATCACCCCCTGGGGGGATGGGCATGCCACAATCCCTTCTCCTCCATTCTCCTCTTGGGATCTTGGGCACGCACGCACACGTGCCCGGCATGAGTTTTAAGCCACCGGGTCTGGGACTCGAACCGCGGTCAACTACGCGGGAGTTCAGCGACATAGCCATTACGCTAACTGCTGGTTCCTTATGATACAGTAATTCTTGAAGAAGCAGCACAAATTAGGAAATAGGAAGAAAGAAAAGGGAGATTTGATTGACATAAAAGATTAAGGCTAAGAGAAAACAAACTCAGGTAAAATTTAAAAGGATTTGGAGTCGCATACAGTGGCCTCTGCTTGACAAAGACCAATCTTCCTTGTAGCTGAATGACTGAAGTCAATGGCAGGAGAAGAGGGCGGATAGATGGAGGCTGTGTGTGAAGCTTCTGTGTGGTGCAGAATCAAAGCAGATAGGAAAAGAGGTGAGGACGTGTGTACACCTGGTAACGGGGGAAAGTGAATCCCCAAGCAAAATATGGGGATGAGAGAGAATAAGGCCAGGGCAAGGTGGGTTTATGCCAGTCTTGCACTATCGTGCTCATCCTCAGCAAGACCAGAGATAGGGCATCCTGGGGCTAAACCAAAGCTGGCTTGGTGTGGGGGGGATCCTTGATTAGGGGACATATAAGTCTGAGCTGTTACCAGTGATGAAGTTGAGGCCAGTTTTCAAAGATTGAGAAGGCACTGGGAGTCAGAAGGAGCTGGGATTAGTGACTGAGACCTATAGTTGCTCCAGGACTTCCGAGAGTTGATGGGTTGTCCAGTTATCTGGAGTGCTGTTGCTTGGCTTTTCTTTAAGGCACATCCTCCTTAGTTGCGATGACTTCCATACCAGTGAATCACAAATCTGTCTCTGGACCCAATGAACAATAACCACTAGTTAGCCTTTCAGAGTGAAAAGCAGCTTTTATTTCCTCTTACCAAGACGTTGAGCTTTCCACTATATAGAGGTGAGTCACCATAGATCCACACAATCTCATTCTTCCTTTCAGCTTGAAATGCCATCACACATAAATCAGGCTACAGTGCTTTTCCTGATACATCTCCAAGGTCCTCTTGCTATTTTTTTTGGAGAGGTTTTTGCTATCGGGCGCATGTGCTCGCCAGACAGACAGAGAGGGAGACAGAGACAGAAAGCGAGAAATCACTCCCTAGGCGGGATGGTCACCGCAATCCCTTCTCCTCCAGTCTCCTCTAGGGATCATGGGCACGCACGCACACGCGCCCGGCTTGAGTTCTAAGCCACCAGGTCCAGGACGTGAACCGTGGTCGACTACGTGGGAGTCCAGCGACATAGCCATTATGCTAACTGCTGGTTCCCGAAGGTCCTCTTGCTTTTCATTTTTCCCATTGTCATAAGGCGGAAATTGTTTTTCCATACCTCTGTGCTACTAAGCCAGCAAGGTCCTTTCTGCCGCCCTTCTGTAGGCTTTGCCCTTCATGCTCAGCTGATCTCTTTCCTGGATTGCCTTTCTTGGCAATGAAACCCCTCAAGGGCTTTGCTCTTAGACATCTCCCTGTCCAGGTCCCTACTTGTGGGTGCATAGTCCCACTTCACTTGTTGCCGGGTGCTTCTTCATCTGAAGCAACGCCTAGCTGACTTGTTTCTGTCAGACAATGGCACTGCTCATGCTGCTTGTGACAGCTTCATCTCACTAAATGAACCTTCTGTGTCTCACCCATGGGCTCCCTGAAAGGCTTCCCTTTTGCTCCACCTACCATTGCACTGGAAAATGTGCTTCTTTCTATGGACCAGGGGATACCTGCACTACACTGGCCGCCTGCAACATATGCAAGACGACATCTTACAAAGTGTGTTTGATGATATTGATCAACTCAGTACTGCTCTGAAGAGGGGAGAGGGAGTGGCTGGACGTGTGCAGCCCACAGTGCGGTCGTGCTGCCCTGACACTGGGCTGCCTCCACCCACCTGGGTTCTAAAAGGAAAGCCCTCTGTTCTCTTTCTCCATGAGAAACATCTTGTTTCTCATTTGTCTAACTGTAGCCCCTGACTTTCATCTCCATGACTCTGTAGTTCTTTATCTCTTTTCTTAATAAGACAAGAAACCCATCATGGACTTTAGGAGCTTCACATGTAGGAAGGAAAGACTAGATTCAAAATATATGGGACCAGTATAGGAGAACTGTCTTCCTTCTTTCCCACTTCAGTGTTTTGTTTCCAGTTACTTATCTTTACTAAAGAGAAACTTAGAACACACTCTAGTTATATTTTTAGAAAACAATCACTTATATATAAATGTGAGATAAAAACTAATAAGATTTCAAAAGCAGAATTATGGGGCCAGCAGGTGGCAGAGTGGTTAAGGTGTTGGACTCACACATGGTCTAGTTTGAGTTCTAGACCTGGTGATTTGAAACACACTCGGCACGTGTGCACGTATACCCACAATCCTGAGAGACTATAGAGGAGAAGGGATTGCAGCGTGACCATCTCCACAGGAGGTTGTTTTTAATTTTCCCTCTCTCTGTCTCTCTTTCTCTCTCTGGGGAGTGCATGCACCTAGCAAAAACTTAAAAAAATAGAATAACATTGCTAAATAGTGCCAAATGACACGTTACAGTGGAAGATGAGCATATTTCTGGTCTGCGATTTACTCTATTGCCTTGACTCTTCTCAGTGGTGTCGTCCTCTTCATCGACACCAGCTCTAAACCATGTTCAGAGAGAGATCCAGGAAATAACAATAACCAGCACCCAGACGAACTAGACACTTTCTTTTGTCGGCTAAATTCTTTGGTCTGTGCTTCCCTACAATGCCTGTCTTTCCTCTTCCCTATTTCTCACTTGAAGACTGTTAAGACTTCTGGGAAAATGGCCTCCATTAAGGTGAGAGGGCTATAAACACAGGACACATAACGTTCCTGGCTTCAGGTACACCTAGAGAGAACATCATGGCAGGATATATTCTTGCATGTGGCCTGAGAACATGAAGCAATCAATATCAAACAGGTCAGCTCCACCCAGCTCCCAACTTAAACTCACCATGAACCTATTTAGTAAATGAAGAAGAAGGACCCTAAATCATATTATTGTGGATTAACTATGTGAGATAAGACTCTTGCTGAACTAAAAAATAAGTTTATCCTAACCTACTGTCACTGGTATGACATCTTTTAGGCTGATAATTATCAATAAGGAGCCATTTTACTCCCAGAGGACATTCAGCAAGGTCTGGAGACATTTTTGGTTGTTTCCACTGTGGGGATGCTACTGGGATTCAATGGATTGAGGCCAAGGATGCTCTTAAATATTCAATAAGACATAGATCAGTCCCTTATGACTAAGAAGTATCCAGTTCAAAATATCACTAGTTCTGAGACTGAGAAACTGCTTTGGAGGATGTCAGTTCCTGTTGTGAATTTTTTTCCCTTTGCTCCCATTTTTCATGAATACTCACTGTTTGTTACAAAAGACAGAAGTAGCATCCATTTTTGATAGGTTGGAGGTATGACCAGTAATAGGAGCAATTTTGGAGACCATTACCCAGGCAATATTTGGAACCTGTCATTGGTGCTACAGAACTGTAGTGGCCTTGCCTGGATTTCTCCAAATATTTAGTCTCCTTGGGCCTCTCTGCATTCTGGCATGATGCTGAGGTTGGTGTTAGTGTAGTGAGGTCATTTCAGAGAGCACAGGTGGTGATGGATTGGCCCACGCTCTCACTAAACCAGACCTAGAATAGAATTTTCAGATGAAAACAAGTTACTCCTAACTCATCATTAAAATATTAAAAATAGGCGTGTGTTGTTTTTATCCCAACTTTCTCCATAAATGCAAGTGTCTCCTTTGGAGTCCTTTTTTTTTTTTTAAGGCTTCAGTTTTATATGTCCCATATTCTTTTATTTATTTATTTTTTGAGAGGTTTTTGCTATAGGGCGCATGCGCTCACCAGAAAGACAGAGAGAGACAGAGAGATAGAAAGTGAGAAATCACCCCCCAGGGGAGACGGGCATGCCGCAATCCCTTCTCCTCCATTCTCCTCTCGGGATCTTGGGCATGCACGCACACACACCCAGTGTGAGTTTAAGCCACCAGGTCCGGCACTCGAACCATGGTCAACACATGGGAGTCCAGCAACATAGCCATTTTGCCAACTGCTGGTCCCTTGTATATTCCATATTCTATACAACAAACTTGTTCTTGTTCCTCATCCTTTGGCCTGTAGTATCCTTAAGGCTGCTGTCCTCAGCCAGAGGGCTTTATCTCAGACTGTGTTGAACCTACCTGGGTTTAGAGGCAGAGGTGCAACTGAAAATGCCCTGGACTGGATTGTCAAGACAGACTCAGCTCCAGAATCTGCAGGCTGTGCACCCTTCACCCTGGGTGCCCTAGGAGGTAACTCTGTACTTCGGTCTTTGTCCCTGCATTGCCTGCCTGATGAATTTCTAAGTACTTTGTAAACAAAAAAGCCCTGTGTAAAAGCACAGGCCTGTGCTGGTTATGGAATTTTATTGCTCTTCATTCTCCCAAGGACATGGGTTCATCTTCTAAATGGTCTCAATTACTTATCTTCTTCCCAAATTGATGTATTTTTGAAAAGAAAAAAAGGAAATAAACAGTCAGTATGTCACTCTAGTACAAGTTACAGTTTTGGAAACTTGTCGCATTGTGCTCATGGGAAGTTTACAGGGGGACATCTTCAAAACCACACTCTGTCTTACTCTCATTAACTTTGAGGAGAAATGCAAGAATGGTTGAGTCTGAATCTCTAAGAGGTGTGTCTTCCTCGTGGTCTGGCTCTAAAAGTGGAGACTAAGCTCTCTCGGGGCTGCTCCTGAGGCTGACACATGTTGGCCAAAAGCACAGGGTCAGTCTTGTGCTCTACTATGTTGAAAGGGCAGGCTTTCAGGTGCTCGGACATGGAGGTGACTTCATTAAACTCCCAGCTTTTGATTTTGGAGAAGAGGCTGCTGAACTGCCAGATCTGTTGAGAAAGAAGTTCAAAGGTGAACAATGGGGCAATACTCCAGGCTGGCTTTACTTAAACAGGGTAAGGAAATAACTCTCTGCTCTTCCTATTCTTGACTTTCAGAGTGTTTAGTGTCTGCTGCAGATGCTATTAATTCCTTCCTCAGCATCCAATTCCTAGCTCCCCCTTCCAGTGGATAATCTTCCCAGTTGGCCAAGTTGTTGTGTGGGAATGACTAATAGCAAGTAGCATAGGGACACATACTCTCCCCGCACCGCTGCTAGCAATGGTAAATAGCTATAGACATACAGTTCAAATCAGGACAATTAGGACCAATGAGACCCTCCTCTATAATTTTTGAGATATCATAAAAGCAGATTCTCTTTTTTCTTCTGTTGAGCTGGGAAGCTGTAGTCCTAGACGTTGCTAGCAGCAACCAGGGACCACCAAGGAAAAAACTGGTTTACAATGGAACCATTACTGAGGAAGTAGAGAAAGAAAGAAGGTCTCCTGAGGTAATTTTTTGAGCTGCGATATTAAGTTTAACCCAATGCCGTTACCTTTGGACTTTTTCATTACATAGGTCAATAACTTCCCATTATTGTTTATAACACTTTTTGTTGGTTTTCTATTGCTTGACATTAATAGTATCGTAACTAATGAGGGCCTCACTAGACGAGGAACTCCATAGGAGAATTTTGAGCCTGCCACTCAATAAAAGACCCTCTGGTCTTTTCCAACTGGTATAGGGTGGCAAAGTTGCTAGTTTTAAAATTTGGTTATGAAGGTGGGCATAACCTGATGTACTTTCAGCCTGACCACTTCATCTTGTTTTTCGGTCATTTTTCCCACGTAAGAAAAGTGCTTCAGGTATCCCTTTCCTCAACTAAATTCTCTATTCCTTTTTGCAAGGAAATTCATTTGTCCCAAGTAATATCCAAGAGTGGTAGCGATCATTGAATTGTGAACAAACTTGAGTCACAAATAGTTAAATTTCAAGCAGGTAAATGAAATTATTTGTGTCTGATTTTGTTGGGGAAGATTTGAGGCAGTTTTAGACAATACTATTCCTGAGGGTGATATCTTAGTTTCATTCATATTTATCCCTAACACATGATTAGTTGCCAATGAGTGTTTACTTAACACATAGATCCATGCATGCACACATGAGAGTCTTTTGATCGTTTTTTGAATAAAACTGCTCAGAGACTTAGGGAGGGGAAACATACACAATATTTTGGACATAATCAATAAAAGGAGATGCAAACAACTCTAACACCCCAATGACAATTTGCAAACACACACACATATTAAGAAGAAACTCAATAGTGAGATGGAATTATTGACCTAAGTGGTCATCGTAAATTCATGGTTCATACTATCAACATATTTACCACGAAAAAGGATGCAATAGCAATTTGGGCATGATAAAGTAAGAGTTTCACTTCTGGGGACCAACAGGTGGCGTGGTGGTTAAAGTGCTGGACACTCCCACATGGTCGACCATGGTTTGAGTCCCAGACCTGATGGCTTGCCTTCTCACTTTCCCTTTCTCTCTCTCTGTCTTTCTCTGGTCAAATTAAAATAGATGAATGAATAAATAAAATTAAATAAAATAATTCTTTAAAAAAAAAGAGTTTCACTTCTGCATGATATGGTAGAAGTTATAATACAGTTAGACAGGGGCCAGCAGTTGGAGTAGTGTTTACATTGCTGCACTCTCACATGGCTGACAGTGGTTTGAGTTCCAGACCCAGTGACTTGAAACTCATGCCGGGCATGTGTGCGTGCATGCCCAAAATCCCAGGAGGAGGATGGAGGACAAGGGATTGCAGCGTGGCCATTCCCCTTAGAGGGCTGATTTATCACACTCCCTTTCACTCTCTCTCTCTCTCTCCTGTGAGCACACAGGTCCTGGGGGGGGGACCTCTAAAAAGAAAAAATACTGTTGAACAAGCATAGCCTAAGGCCAGCAGGTGGCATGGTATTTAAGGCATTGGACTTCCACGTGACCAACTAGGCTCTAGTCCTGGATCCCGCATCTTGAAAATCACACCAGGTGCATATGTGTCCTTGCCCAAAACGCTGAAAGGAGAATGGAGAAGGGACTATGACACTGTTATGTGGCCATTCCCCTTGGGAGGTGATTTCTCACTTTTCCCCTCTCTTTGTTGAATACACATGCTATATCCAGGTATTCATGCGTCTTTGTTTTGTAGAGAATTTGGAGTTAGCAGATAGCGTAATGGCTATGTCGCTGGACTCCCATGTAGTTGACTGTGGTTCGTGTCTCGGACCCGGTGGCTTAAAACACGCTGGGCGCGTGTGCATGCGTGCCCAAGATGCCAAGAGGAGAATGGAGGAGAAGGGATTGCGGTGTGGCCATCCCCCCTGGGGGGTGATTTCTCATGTTCTGTCTCTCTGTGTCTCTCTGTCTGGCGAGTGCACATGCCCTATAGCAAAAATCCCTAAAAAAAAAAACAAAAATAAAAAAACAAAAAACAAACAAACAAAAAACCATGACCTAACTGGGCAAAAGGAACAAGGTTTTTCTGAAGATAAAGAGTCTACTTAGGGCCAATCGGTGGCATGATGGTTAAGGTGGCTAGATCCCATATGGCTGCCTTCACAGTTGAGTCTTGGACCTGACAGCTTGAAAAAACTACCAAGCGCATGTGCATGCATGTGCACTCAAAAATCATGAGAGGAGGGAACCAGCAGTTGGCGTAATGGCTATGTCGCTGGACTCCCACGTAGTCGACTGCGATTAGCATCCCGGACCCAGTGGCTTAAAACTCACGCCAGGCGCGTGTGCGTGCATGCCCAAGATCCCAAGAGGAGAATGGAGGAGAAGGGATTGCGGCATGGCCATGCCCCCTGGGTGGTGATTTCTCGCTTTCTGTCTCTCTGTCTCTCTCTGTCTGGCGAGCGCACGCACCCTATAGCAAAAACCTCTCCAAAAAAAGAAAAAAAGTCATGAGAGGAGAATGGAGAAGGGATTCTGGCACAGCCATCCTCCCCCCACCCCCGCACCCCTGGAGGGGGGAGATTTGTCACTTTCCCTCTCTGTCTCTTTCAAGTGAACACACACAGCCTATAGCAAAACAAAACAAGCCAAAAAAAAAAGATTTATAAATATGTGGGTCAGTTTTGGCAAAGCTGTAAGATAAATGCAATACATAGGGCTGGTAGTAATCATCTTGAGAGGTACTGCTCTAGGTAGTTCTAAAGGGGAAGAAGAAGAGGTCATTAGAACCTAGAGTGAGTAATTGCGTGCAGAGACCCACTTGACATAGCCACCTACAGGGAAGACACCCAGTCCAAGGTATCACTGAGGGGTGTGGGGTATGGGGTGGGTGGTGGATCAGTGGTAGCACAATGCGCTGAAAAACTGACCCACATGGGAAGGTTCTGGGTTCACACCCAGAGACCTCTCTGACTATGCCAGGTGCTCATACCCATGATCCAGAGCTGGTTGAGACTTGGGGGTAAATCATGGGTTGAGAACCCTACTGGGGGTATCTATCTGCCTGTCTCTTATTCATGGAAAAAGAAATAAACTTAAAAACAAACAAATATAAAACCTCCCACTGAAGCAGGGAGGAAGCTAGAAGAATACTTTCTTCTTATTCTTTTTCAGCCTCCTGTCTGCTACTGAGACACTCCCATTAGATTAGCACTATTGCAAGCCAGAGGGCAAGGGAGCCATTTGAGGCAATCTGGAGAGATTGGTCTCCTGGGGGTCAGACTGGGGTTGGGGAAGCAGGAAGGGAGGGAGACTGACTCATGTGAGCAAATAGAAGATATCCTGGATGCACAAATAAACAGCACTACCATCTGTATTGTTATCTATATGTTTGTAGGTCTGTCTTCCCTACTAGACTAACCTCGTTGAGTTAGTCTATCCCCAAAAACTGTCCTATTACCTAGTAGAGTGCTTGGCTCATAGAAATCTCTGAACAAATATGTGTTGAATGAATAAATGAGCATTTACTTGCCTCTCTGTGAACTTTCCAGGAGGTACCTCCATGGGAATACCTCTTCTTCTTCCACTGTAAGAGGACCATTCCTCGCTCTTGTAACAAGGTGGCACAGATATTCCTCATTAGCACAGACACTTGGGAGAGCTGGGACAGGCTGATGCTGTCTAAGAACCCAGCAATGTATTGCAGAACTTCCAGGGGCAGGCTGGTTAGAGAATTTTGGCTTTTTCCTCCATGGCCTGTATGATGGTTGTTCTTCCTTCCCTCACTCAGTTCTGGAGCAACCTCCGGCTTGATGGCAAAGGTCTTGAGCTCCTGACTATAGATCACTTTTGCTTTTTGCCCCGGGGGACGGAAATGGTTTTGAATGAATGTACATCCTAAGTAAGCCAGGGGGCACCGATGCTGGAACCAACCATTGAGACATGACTGAATGTCTGTGTGGACATTCTTGAAGTGCAGGGGGAATTCATCCCTTCTGAAGAATTTGTTGCAAGTGAACGTAAAGGCAGAGCTGCTCTTATTGTGTCTCCTGGTTACACACTCGCTGTGGAGTTCCACGTGGAGTCCCCCCGGCTTGGCAGTGGTTAGGAGGTCAGCCAGCACTGTGCCAGAGGAAAACTGTTCTGGCTCAAAACTGTACGTCTGTGTGGCAAAATCCATGAAGAGCCCATCAATGCTCCGGGATTCAGAGATGACGTGACCTTTGAGCTCTCTTTCTAAAGCACACTGGAGAGTGGTCTTGATGAGATCTGATTTTGGCAGGTCCTCCACAGTGATCCCCAAATCGGAAGTGTCGACTGCCTTGTGTTCACTTGGCCTACAACTCAACATGGCATCTCCAATGCGAGCCCGTTTTCCACAGTAGCTCACAGGAACTTTGAAGGTGTAAACCGTCTTAACTTCCTGAGCCTCAAGGTTACCATAAACAAAATCTTTCTCCCTAGGCGTACAAGCAGGCATCTGACCAAAGTGAATAAGCATCCGTCCATTGTGCACTAGATACATGTTATAGTCCTTTGCATCCACCGCTGTTTTCAGTCTTTCCAGGACACCGTCCTGCCAAGGAGCGAGCCCTGTCGTTTCCACAGTCGCAGGAAAGTCGCGCTGCCGCTGGTTCTCCTGTGATTCTTCGTCTTTGGCCGCACCCTCTCCCTTTACCATGTTGTTGCCACTGGGAATCTGGTCTTTCCCTGGGCCATTGCCGCCCTTGCCCCCACAGCTTGCTGACGGATTTGTTAAAGCAGAGGCTGCATGCTCTTTGCTGAACATATTTTCCCACTTGTCGAACTTGGCCAGGTCCATGCCTTCCTTGGTTTTGGCTAGTGCTTCTCGTTCTTCTTGACTCAACTCTGCCGTCTCCCCATTAGTTGCTGATAGACAGCCGTGTGGTGCCAAACCGGCATCCACTCCACCCACCGCTCCTCCCATTTCCTCCCAACTGGCTTCGCCATTCACAGCTGATGCCTCCTCAGTGGCCTCTCTAGTTTCTGGGAAAAGTTCTACCATTTTCAAGGATCTGAAGAGAACCTTCTGGTCCTGGAGGGCCAGGGCTGTGTCCAGACACTCCTCACTGGGGGTCTCTTTCATGATATTTTCATGAAGGGTTGTTTCAGAATCCACATTTGGCCAGCGGTTCCACTCCATGGAGCAGCAGACCACACTGGCGGGGCACACCTGCAGGTGCTTGGCCAGCTTGTGGCGTGACATGGAAAGGGGGCAGCCATATTCAGAGTTGAGGCATGGAACCTGCTCTAACGGGCAGAGAAGCTCGTGCTCGGCCTCTTTGCACATGTGGAAGCTAGCCCCACAGAGCAAGCGGCAGTTGATAACCGGGCAGGAGACGCTGGGCTCCACAGGAATGTGGCAGTGGCGGTTGAAGCATCTCTCACAATGCCTGTGCTGCCCAGGAGGAGGTCTGCGTATTCTACCCTGGACATGCCAAGGGCAAGGGGAAAGAGAAAACAAATTAATGCTGGAAGAGAAGCTCTATGTCTGTTTGTGACATTGTTTTAATGGACTTGCTCCCTATTCATACATTTTTCCTTTTTTTTTTTGGTAGAAATCTTGTAATATGTAGAACAGCATAGAAAAGAAAGTAAGAATCAGTCATAATCCCACATTCCAGAAGCACTCTTTTAAAAATCTTCCAATAATTTATCCTATGTATGTAGGCAGATATGTTAAGAATGGGGGCGGAGGAGAAACAATGTATTGAACTACAACTTGCTTTTTAAAATTCACCAGAGGGCATGTGCACTTGCTGGAGAGCGAGACAGAGAGAGGCAAAATGAGAAAGCACCTCTCATGGGGGATGGTCACACCACAATCCTTTCTCCATTTCTCTTTCCTTTCAGAACTTTTGGGCAAGCACACACACATACTCGATGTGTTTTTCAAGGTACTAGAACCAGGGCTCAAACTGCACAATCATGTTGGATCCAGCTGCCTTAACCAATACTGCTTGTGGGCCCTGTACTATAATTTTCACAATTATTTTTGAGTTGTGGGTTATGGGTGATTTATATCACATATCTAATGCTATGAATATAATTTGGCATTCTGATTTTTAACCTGCTATTATAACATGAGCATAGACTGTTTTATCAGTTATTCTTTGCAAACTCTTCATAATGGCCATAAAACATTCCAGAATATGGGTATACTGCCATTCATTTAGTAATATTTGCTGAATGAAGGAACTGCTAACCATCTAGATTATTTCTTGCTTTATTGCTCTTTTACCTCTAAATTTTTGCTGTAATTCTTTGTTCACAAATCTTTCTCAGGGCTATGCTTTCCCTTACTCTGCGTCAATTTCTCCCACATTCTCTTTAGCATCTTTAAAAAGTCAAGAGAGGGGGACCAGCAGTTAGTGTAATGGCTATGTCACTGGACTCCCATGTAATCAACAACGGTTCAAGTCACGGAGACTTAAAACTCACGCTGGGCGCGTGTGCGTGCGTGCCCAAGATTCCGAGAGGAGAATGGAGGAGAAGGGATTGGGGCGTGGCCATCCCCCCTGGGGGGGTGATTTCTCGCTGTCTCTTTGTTTCTCTCTGTCTGTCTGGTGAGCGCACGTGTCCTATAGCAAAAATCTCAAAAAAAAAAAGTCAATAAAGGGACCAGCAGATGGCATAGCAGTTACATCACTGGACTCCTACACGTCCAACTGTGGTTCAAGTAGTGGACCCAGTGGCCTGAAACTCATGCCAGGCGTGTGTACGTACATGACCAAAATCCTGGGAGGAAAATAAAGGAGAAGGGATTGTGGCGTAGCCATCCCCCCTGGGGGTGATTTCTCACTTTCCCTCTCACTGTCTCTGTCTCTCTATCTCTGGGAAGCACATGTGCTCTAAGGTAAAAACCTCTCAAAAAAAAAAAAAGTTGATAAATATCAAACCACAAAGACAAGTCTGCCAGCGGCTTGGGCTATGGGCAAAATGAAGCAAGACAGGACTGCTGAAAGGTGAAGCTCCAATAAGCACCTGGTACTTACCATAGCTGCCTGATCTCTTCTTTCTTCTTAACTCTAGGAAAAAGATATAAAAATATGAAAAGTGTTGTGGTTATAAACATTAACAAGGTCATAGGAACTTCACTTATTTTCTCATGTAATTCCTTCCACCTCCCTGGAGGTGTCACTGCCCCCATTTGAAGCTTGAGGAAGTAACTTATCCAGGCCACACAGCTGCCAAGCAGTGGAATCAGGTTTCTAGTCCCAGCTATGCTGACCCAGGCTCTTTTCACTTACCCCCACTCCTTCTTAAGGGGCCCATTACCAGTCATGGGAAGTCTAAATTCTGCTTCTTGTAACTTTCTCTATTGTCTACTGGCGATTATCCTAACATCCCAAAGCCACTCTTCCCCAGTCTGGCCCAAGTTGCCCTTTTAACCTTCTTTTCCACTGAGTCTCATGTCTGCTTAGAGGTCAGTCTGGTATCCAACATGGCCGGGGGCCTTGCATACGCGTCTGAGAAGTACCTACCATGTGCCACTCACTCTGGTCTAGTCAGCAGTACCATGGCCAGAACAGGGCCCCAAACCCCAAAGGGCCCAGAATCAGGAACTCCAAGAGGTAGAAGGAAAGTTGTCCTCCCTTCAGGGAAATGATGCTACTTGGTTCTGTTTTTTTTTTTTTTTTTCTGTTTTT